TCAGATAGCCACCAATTTTCTGTAAGCTGACAATCTACCTGTGAAATCCAAGTAATCACTACTGGTGTGGGGCAAACTGAGTAAGAACTTTGAAGAAGCTCCAGAAGTAACTGATAACTGGCAAAGGAGACCACTTTGAATTCTAGACTAATCCTTTGCAAGAGCTAATAGCAGGGCCTGACTGCAAAATGAAGCTCTTGAACACAACAACAAAAACCAAAAAACCACAAACTTCTCCCCACATCCACTTATTCCTTTACTTCCTCAGAGACAAGTCCAAGTTCTCAGCTATCACGAAATGTGAAACATTAACAATGATGACAACGAAAAGACATGAAGTAGTTGGAAGACATGCATGGAAACACACGTGGTTGCTTATCAACAGGAAACGGACAGGAGAACTCACAGGGCACAAGCTGGTTCTGGGGTCCTACTAGAAGACTCAGGAAACAGGTGAAATGGGTTTCTGTTAAATTCTGAGCATTACACTCTGTATGTGGATGCCCACATTTTGTAGAGCTGCAGAGGGAAGCGCTTAAGTGGATAAGTGATGGAGGATTGTGAAAGCACACAACCCTTAACAAATACCTTGTGCTATTACTGATCTTCCTGGCCCATTCTGTTTCATCCTCAGCTGTATGCAAATGCTTGTACTTTAGGAATGTGAAGCTTAGTGGATCAGGTTCCTGTGGTTGCTCTAACTGAGTACCACAGAATTGGTAGCTCAAATAATGGTAGCTTATTTTCACATGGTTATAGAGGCCAGAGGTCATAAATCACAAACCCTGGGTTTCTGCCGGGCGGTGGTGGTGCACACCTTTAGTCCCAGCACTCGGGAGGCAGAGGCAGGTGAATCTTTGTGAGTTCAAGGCCAGCCTGGTCTACAAGAGCTAGTTCCAGGACAGCCTCCAAAGCAATACAGAAAAACCCTGTCTCGAAAAGCAAACAAAACAAAACAAAACAAAACAAAAAAAGAAAAAAGAAAGAAAGAAAGAAAGAAAAGAAACCCTGTGTTTCAGTGACCATGTCAGCAGAGCCATTCACTATCCTTCCAAAGGCTTGACTGTCTTCCTTGCCCCGTCTGGTGGATAATATCTTTAAGACCAATATCTTCACGTCCCCTGCTCCGACTTAGTCGACTTTCTCAGTGTAGGCAAAGTCTTCCTCTCATATGGATGCATGGGAATGTATGTAGGGGCCTTGTTCTCCCCCTCTTGAAATCTTTAAGTGAGTTGCACTGCAAGGGTCTCTTTTCCAAATAAGATAGCATTTTCAGGTTCACGGTAGTAGAGCCTGCTGCCCTAGGGTGCCATTATTCAGCCTACTAGATCATAAAATTCAGTATTTGCAAAAGAATAGAGCAGGCTGCAGTGAGTACAAGCAGTATCATGTGCCTCCAGCATGATGAAGGAATTTGCTGGACAAGTATGGGCTGTTTCTGTGCCATGCCTACAGATACATGCTTGGTCTTGTTAACATGACACATGAACCACGCACTTTCCACTTACGTTAAAATCTGAGCTCTCCGCCAACGTCCAAAGTGAACAACTGTCTAACCTATGGAATGTCTTGTGTTGGCCACACTGAGTGGACTGACAGCCAATTTCTCTTACTTTTCATTTGTTATGAACTCTTCCAGCCACCCTTCTTGTTAAATATAATCCAAGGGAGGAAGCCCAGGGGGAGCAGGCCCATGAGGAAGAGGATGCTTTAGAACATAAGAATGTATCCTGTAGCCTTTTATTTATGGTGTTCTCTCAAGGGTCAAGTGGCACACTGGCAGGTTTAGAATCTGCCTCTTGGATTTCTTAACCGTCTCCCCTTAAACCAGCCTCATGCTCTGTATAGAGCCTCAGGGGACTAAATTCCCCTATGCTTAGTTCAGTCTAGTTCTTTCTAGGCTCCTCTCGAGGCATAGTTCCATCTCCATAGGGCTAGTGAATTTTTCAGGCATGGAAATGGATGGGATTATTGCTTATATGAGCAATTTTCAAGACAAAATTAGACTTCCATAGTTGTCACCTTTTGTAATGCATTTAGTGTCTTCTAGTAACAAGAACACATCTTCAGTTCAGTGAAAGGCTGGGGTTAGGGTAAAGCCGGTGATATAACTGTCCTGGGTGCACAATTTAAGATGGATCAAAAAAAAAAAAAAAAAAAATCTCAGTGACAAAATAATACTTTGTAATATGTTATAAATGTGATAGCTTAAAAATACCAAACCAAAACAGTAAACCAGGGCCCAGAGATTAGCCTTCTGGGGCTATCAATAAAGTTTTATTGCCAGGACTGAGGTGAGCTGCAGTCTTACATGTAATGGCTGGCTTTTGTCTTTAAAGTGTGATATTTTTGCATTATTAATCTTTTAGGGATGGTGTCTCAAATAGTCCAGCATGACCTTGAGCTCACTACAAAGCTGACGCTGACTGTGAGCTGCTGAGATTAGAAGTATGAATTAGCACACCACCTTTTACACAGTGCTGGTGAGCAAACCCAGGGTATTGAGCATGCTAGACACTCATTCTACCAACTGCTTCAGGTAACAAAGTCTTAACACTATATCAAAATCACCGTCAATAACAACACAGGATCCTTAGTTGGATGGAAGCAACATGAGTATGACAACTCCAAAATCACTGTAAAAGTAAGAAGTGGAGAGTTGAGGTAAGTTGCCACATCTGTCACGCAAATCGTTGGGAGGAAGGAGATGCTAAAGGCAAGGTCTGAGCAAGATGTCAAAGAAACTGGATACTTTGAATATTATCAGTGACCTGAAGGCATGGGCACTCAGGAGAGAGTTCTTTCTACCAGCCCCGGCCTCCCACCACTTACTTCCCTTGACTCTGGTGTACTATAGGAGAAGGGAGCCCTAGAGCAGTCACAGTAGGAGGAAGAGTGGGGCAAATATGACAGCACGACGCTGGCTGTTCCAAGGCCTTGAGGCCAGCATGCCAGGTGTTAAAGCCCACCACCTTGAGGAAATTCTGAAACCGCTACCTGCCTCAGGGTCCTCACTGAAAAGTGGACTAAATACCTTATCTGACTGACATACAGAATACATGACACAGTGAAATGGCTGAGAGTCAGCATTCAACAAACGTGACTCGCTGAAAATAAAGAGCCAGGCTTGCGATGTATGTCTGTAATCTCACTGTTATGGAGGTGGAGGCTGGGGGATCAGAAGTTCAAGACCAGCCAGCCTGTGGCCTGTGCTACATAGAGCATCAAAGGTTAGCCTGGGCTATATGAAACCCTTTCTACAAAAATAAAGAGTAATAACAATAACCACACTATTTGTACTGATTCATGTGATCCAGTTTTCTGTTCTTGTTGCCATAATGTGGCATTATGTGGCATAATGTGGGTAATTTATAAACAATATAAAGTCAATCAGCCTGGGTCAGGAGGCTTGGAAGGCCAGGTTGAAGACACGAGATTAGGACTTGGTGAGGGTCGGTTCTTTACAGACAGCAGCTGGCGTTCTCACATGGCAGAAGGACAAACATTGTCACGGGGGAGGGACATGCTCCCTCAAGTCTCTTATAATGGCACCTATCCTCTACACAAAGGTTCTGCCTTCAAGATGACCTAGTCACCTCCCAAAGACCCCATAATACCAACACATCGGTGATTAGATTTCAACATGAATCCTGGACAGACAAAACATTCAAACCACAGCATCTGTGTTCCATAATTTTCCCATTTGTGAAGTTGAAGAGCCCAGTGTCAGATGTTCAGTAAGAGCCATCCCTAGCCAGACTGAACTAGTCTGGATCTGTCACATCACTCACCAATAAATCACCGAAAACCTGATGATTAAAAGTGAAAAATTACACCCAAATATTTGAGGTATTCTGCCAAAATGAAAACACCTGCTACATGACAGAATCATATTTTATACTTTCTTCTAAAAATTCAATTTAATTTCATTTTACATGTATAGGTGTTCTGCTTTCATTTATGTCTGTTTACCACATGCATGCCATGCCCAAGGAAGCCAGAAAAGACATTAGATCCTTTGGAACTGAAGTTACAGGTATGAGCAGCCAATATAGGTGCTGGGATTTGAATCCAGGTCCTCTGGGAAAGCAGCAAGAGCTCTTAACCCCTGAGCCATCTCTCCAGATCCTGTTATATTTTCTGGAAATTATTTTTAATGATGTGAAGCATGTTAGAGAAAAAGGAATCTCTTTTTAAAGATGAGCCTTCACTAGTTAGTTTTCTGTTGGTATAACAAAACAAAACAAACAAACAAACACTATGATCGAGGACAACTCAGGGAAGAAAGCTCATTTTAGCTTCCAGTTTCATGGGGTTAGGATCCATAATGGTGGTGATGGCGTGCTAGCAGAGGCGGAGCCTGAGTAAATGTAATTCCAATTCTCGATAGACTAAAAAAATTAGGTATTTGTGTAGACAAATCAGTAATCAGAGATGGGAGTTAAGAAGGTTAAAATGGCTAGGCAGTGGTGGTGCACATCTTTAATCCCAGCACTCTGGAGCAGAGGCAGCTGGATCTTGGCCAGCCTGGTCCACAGAGTGAGGTCCAGGACAGGCAGAGTTATACAGAGAAACCCTGTCTTGAAAACAAAATAAAACAAAAAAAGAAAGAAAATGGTCAGGCAGTGGTTGTGCACACCTTTAATCCCAGCACTCTGGAGGCAGAGGCAGTCGGATCTCTGGGAGTCTGAGGCCGGCCAGGTCTACAGGGCAAGTTCCAGAACAGCCAGGGCTACACAGAGAAACCTTGTCTTGAAAAACCAAAAACAGAAAAAAAAAAAAAAAAAGGATCCAGAACACATATATCCCTTGTGCGCATATTTCAACCAAAACCTTGCCAAAAACTAAAAAAGAGATGGGATCTCTGCTCTCTCCTGTATGTTTCCAGGATCTGGAGCTCAAACATCTGGAACCCTAGACACCTTACAGACCCCTCATGGGAAAGTCCTTCAAGAGCCTGTACCAAACCAGAACTCTGCTTAACTTCCTACCCAGCTCACCTGTTTCCTTATGAGGTGGTGACGAGTTGCCCCAGGATGTGTCATCTTCAAACTGGACCCAGTTGCTGATGGCTGAGGCCAAGTCAGGTGTGGGTTGCACTGGGCTCCCGGGAGGGGTGGTCGATTCGGAGATGAGGCCCATCTTTTCAGAGGAGTCATCCTGCTCGGAGTGGGAAAGGTCCTGGCAGCCTCCATCCACAGCAGGATTCTCCCCAGAGGAGCTCTCAGATGGGTCTGAGGAAGATGACGATCCTGGGAAGTGTTCTTCAGTGACCCCTACGGAAGGTACCAAACACTACCATCAGGCAAGGAAGGATGCGCATCACAGGTGTCTCACCAAGCGCAAGGGATGATGCAACACTCAATGGAAGATGAAATGGCCGTGCCAATCCATCTCCATGTTAAAGCACCGTATCCTGAATAACTTTTAAAGCCTGTAATCTCATTTGTTCCCAGTCACTATCCCACGATCCCAGACAGCTGAGAAAAAACACTTTTCCATTATTGTATTTGTTACGTGTGTATGAAGGTATATAGTGTGTGCCTATGCAGGTGTAGGTCAGAGGCTGATGTTGGGCATCCTCCTTGATTGTTCTCTACTTTTGGGGGTGATGTATGCATGTGAGGGCGTAACCGCTCAGTGCATAGTGTGTGTACCTGTGGAGGCTGGAGGTCAACACCAGGATGTTTTTCTCAATTGCTCTCCACCTTACTTTCTGAGCTAGGGTCTTTCCCTGAACCTGGAGGGCATCTATTTGGCTAGACTGGTTCATGAGCCCAGACCTGTCTCCACCTCCCCACTCTCAACCCTGGGGCTGCACTCAAGCACAGCTGGCTAGTTTACATGGGTGTTTAGGGTGAATTCAGGTCCTACTGCTTGCACAGCTGGACCTTTATCTGCTAAGCCATCTCTCTGGTCCTTGTTCATTATTTTTAAGCCTAGCTTGAAAGCCATAAATTCAAATGGCAATAGGGGTCAAGCAAGAAATACTCCTGAGTTGATTGGGGACAAATGAGAAGCAGTAGGGGATGGTGGGTGGGTGGGGGGCTCTACGGATGGACAAATAGCAGCACTTCCTCCTATACTAAAGAAATTCAAATGCAAATTTCAAACTCCATTCTGGACAAACTACTCTGCAGGCAACATGTACAAACCCCACGTGAATCACCAGCAATTGTGACACTGGGGCTCCTTTTCTTTAGGTTGTCCTTGAAACATTTTAAAATTTTTTTATTTATTTTTACTTTATGTGCTTTGGTGTTTTGCCTGCATAATCTCTTCATGAGGGTGTCAGATCTTGGAGTTACAGAAGTTGTGAGCTGCCATGTAGGTACTGGGAATTGAGCCCAGGTCCTCTGGAAAAGCAGTCAGTGCTCTTAACCGCTGAGCTATCTCTTCAGACCATCCTGGAAACATTTGATGCCTTTCAAAACTCCGTTTCTTAAAAATCTTTATTAATTTTTTTCCCATAGAATATATTTTGAAGATATTTGTTCTTCTTCCTAAACTCCAGATCTTCCCAAGGTCACTACCCACCCAATTTCATGTTCTTCCTCTTTTTCTCTCAAAACAAAACAAAAAATAAGAAAACATAAAAACAAAAGATGAAAATCAAAACAGGCAAACTAAACAAAAAACAAAAAGAAACCATCAAGAAAAAAAAAAGCAAAAAAACACTCAAGCAAGCCACACACGCAAGTACATGCAGTCTGTTTAATATTGGCCAACTACATCTGGGCATGGAGTGATTGATATGCCTAGTGACACTCCATTGGGAAAACTGCTTTCCCCTTTCCCAGCAGGTAGCAGTTGGCTGAGGGTGGGACTTTGTGTCCAGGAAGATGGAGAAATAAAACTTTTTTTTTTTTTAAACAATAAAGCATATACACTGATTATGGTGGTTGAATACACAAATCTATACATAGGCTAAAATCCATCAACTACATAGCAAACAATGTCCATTTTACTCTTTGGACAGCTTATGAAGCTTGGAAACTTGAGCGTTTACCTACTGTTCTATCTCACTGACCCATTTAGGAAACATTCTAAAACTCAAAGAAATAATAAGAAAATCCTTTCTCCTATCATAAGATAATCATAGTGATTTGTACACAATCAAAGCCTTCAGCACTATCTAAAAATAAAAGGTAAGACACATGCGTAAACTTAAGTATTCTAGTTTCCACATTTAGAAGGTAAAAAGAGTCGGGTGGTATTAGAGCATGCCTTTAATCTTAGCACTCAGGAGGCAGAGGCAGGCAGATCTACATGAATTGAGGCAGCCTGGTCTAACAGAGTGGATTCTGGGACAGCCAGGGCTGATACACAGAGACACTCTGTCTTGATAAGCCAAAAAGACCAAAGCAAACAAACAAAACCTGTTAATGAGACACAACTGTGCGTTTGTGTGTCAGTATCTGAATTGTGTGTTTGTGATGAATGCACATGTGTGGCAGCAGGTTCACACATGTGCCTATGTATGTGTGGAGGCCAGGAGAGATCACTCAGTGTCTTTTTCTATCACACTTTGCCTTATTCCCTTGAGACAGGTCTGCCACTGAATCTGGAATTAGACTGGTGGCCATCCAGTCCCAGCAGTCCTAGTCAATGCCCTCCACAGGCCTGGGGTTAGAGGTGTGTGCAGCTATGCCAGTGTCACATGGTTCCTGGCCATTTGAAATTAGGTCCCCATGCTTGCACAGCAAGTGCTTTTACTGAGTAAGTCATCTTCCTGGCCCCCAAGATATGCGATTTTGAGTAGGTCTTTGCAGTTCAGAGAATACACATCTCTGGACATGACACTTTCAGCACGTTTCAATTCAGACTTGCCGCATTGTAAGGCGTCACTATCCACACGGATACCACACTAGATTGTATGCCTGTTGACTGCCACCTTCCACCTGTGCTGGTGAGGGGGGGATGAAGTCAGAAGCAACTGACCTGGTGATCCAGATGTCCCTGGGTCTATCTTGACCTTCATCCCTGAACACTAACCTCCTAAAGGACAGTGTGGGAACTTCTACTGTGATCCTGGATGACAATGCTGAGCTCGTCTTGTGGACCAGGCACTCCCGGAGGCATTTGACATCTGCTGACTAAATGCCCACAAAACCTCCTGAGGAGGAGCCCTGTGATCATTCCTCTTATGTAGACAATGCAGCGACGCAGGGAGTGGCTCACAAATCATTCTGGAGGCTAGGCATGGTGTACTTGACTGTAATTGCAGTACTCAAGAGAGAGAGGTAGGAGGATTGCTGTGGATTCATGGCTGGCCTAGTCTACATAGTGAGTTCCGGGACAGCCAAGATTATAGTGTGAAAACCTATCTTAAAAATAAAACACAGAACCAGCCTTGTGTGGTGACACATGCTGTTAGTCCCAGCACTTAGAGGGAGGGGCAGAGGCAGGTGAATCTCTGAGTTGGAGGCCAGCCTCAGTTCTAGGACAGTCAGGGCTATACAGAGAAATACTGTCTCAAAAAAAAAAAAAAAAAAAAAAAAAAAAAAAAAAAACAAGAAATAAAACAACAAAAAACAAATCACAAAACCAAAAAAAAAAAAAAGTTTCATAAAGATATGGGTAAGGGTGCTTGCTCTGCAATCATGAGGACCTGAGCTCAAGTCTTCAGTACCCACATATAAGCCAGGCTTGGCAGCATTAGGTAGAGACAAGCAGATCCTGGTCACCCAGCCTAGCTAAAACACAGGCTTCTGTTTCATTGGTAGATCCTGTCTCAAGACAGTGAGGCAGAGCATGATGACACCTCACGTCCTGCTCTAGCCTCCACATAGATGGGCATGGCATGTGCATGATGACAAGGTTAGAGTTTTGTTTTCTTGCTATGTCTGTCACTTTGAGCAATTACACTTTAAAAATTGAGAAAATCTGGGCTCAGTGCTCAGTACTGGCTGCTCTTCCAGTAGGACCTGGGTTCAATTCCCAGCACACACATGGCAGCTCACAACTGTCTGTAACTCCAATTCCAGGGTGTCTGACACCCTTACACAAACACACATCAGACAAGTTATTTATTTATTTTTTTTGAATTGAGAATATCCAAAGAGCTGGTGAGAGTCACCACCAAAATGGCCAACAGTAAAGTAATATGCAATTAGTTTGGTCTCTTGGAAGGAACGAGCCTACACCTTTGGTGCTCCCAGGTTTTTGGTGCCACCTCATGTTAAGAGGACACAGCTTCTGGCTACTGAATGAAAAGACCCATGCAAGTCTCTGGTAAGGACCCAATGGCTTTTTCTTTCTTCCTTTATTAGAATCCCACCTGTGAATGAGCAGAAACCAGACACAAATCTTGTCACTTTAAGACATCTTGTCCTTACCTTCTGAAGGGGCGGGGAACAGCGGCTCCTCACTGAAGGAGACCCACTCTGACTGGTGGGTAGCGATGACATGGTCCAAGGTCGTCATGCTAAGAGGATGCTGCTCATCTTCACACTGCTGACCTCAAGGAGACCCCCCCCCCCAGAAAGACGTCTGGGGCAAGCAGGGCAGCACTCGAGAGTGTGAGCCTACAGTCTGTCACTGAGGTCTGTGAATGGTGGCACTGAGGACAGGCAGAGTTTGGTCCTCCTTGCCTTTGGTTATCTGCCAGGTAGAGATCTGTTTAAATAAGAAAGGAAACTGAAGTTGGTAAACATTGCATCACACGGAATTCACAAAAGTCTAGGGCTCTGAGCACCACAATGAGGTTTCAGGCGGTTTCCATCATGCCATGCTCCTCCTGCCTCGTTGATGTTAGGGGCCTCGAGAAGTCCCATGAAAGACCACCAGTCACGTACGCAATAAGCAGGAGCAGATCATTAATAGTCCATCCCTGGCCTTCACATTTTATTTTTTTCTACTAAACTCTCTATTAACACCAAGATCCCTGGATAAGGATTTAGATCAGACCACTAACTGACCACTCAAATTTTAGCGTTTTTAGATGAGATCCCCAATCATTCTATTTCAGAAACACTTGTTACGTGTAATGGAAGGCTCTTGGTTCTTGTGAAGCATTAGAACTTGCTCAGAGTGCTTTCACGGTTTCCACCCAGATGGTGACATAAGAGTATGCTCCATCCCATGAAACCAAAGCACTTGCTTGCCTCAGGCAGGTAACTTTCTTCGAGTCTGATCTGAATCTCTGACAGATACCCAGCTATATCTAGATGGCATCTCCAAGTATGATTAGCCAATCAGGAAAAAGACAAAACAAAACAATAACAGAGTCATCTCTTGTTCATCTGAGGTAAGAGGTTAGGAATATTTGCTTTACTGATTAAAAAAAAAAAAAAAAGAAAAGAAAAAAAGTTGAATTAAATACATCTCCAATCTTGGTCAATTTGAATTAGGGTATAAATGTCAAATCTTTACTTGTACAGCAATTATGCTCTGTGGATGTTAAAGATTATTTAATTGAATTACAGTTTTTGTATTATTAATGTCTTTTTACAGCTTGAACCTAGCTCTTGATCTTATGATGAATGAATAAAATGAGAACTAGTGGAAAATTAATGTGCTTTCACAAATGAGCTACTATCTGTCTTGAGCACCATTGTTCCTGCTAAGCACATACACTATTCCAGTAGTTTCTAGAGTGATGTAACCAAGCCTCTACACAAACAACAGAAGTTAAACTTCCCTCTAAGTTTTTATCTACAGTGAACAATTTATACTGAGAGAAAAATCAGAATGGGAAACATCTGACAGTTTTGCCTTGTTTGGTGACAAAAATGTTTTATAGTTCTTAAAGCCACTGCTTCTATAAAATTTATAATTCTCAGAAACCCATTTCTACATCACCCTTCACTTAAGTTGCAGTGCACTGATCTGTTGTTGTTTGTTTGTTTTGGGTCAGTCTCATATATCCGAGGCCATCCTCCTGCCTCCACCTCCTGAATGCTGAGACTGCATGTGTACAGCAGCACACATGGTTTAAGTGCTACTTGGGGGTGGGTCAAACTCAGGATCTCCACATGGTGGCCAAGCACTCCACCAACAGAGTTGCTTTTACACCCCTCACCATCCATTTTAGATGACTAGGGCAGGTGGTAATATAGTTCTTTTATAGATTTTTTTTTAAATCCGTGTAGAGAGAAATTAGGTGACTTATTCAACACTAAAACAGGCCCTAACATTCCTAAACTGCTTCTTCTAGGTTTTTTAAGTGGGAAAAAAAATCCATGGTTTCAGGGCAAGCCGACTCTTGTTTTCCATGGTTAGCATCCTATATAAAGGGAGATAAAATAGAAGCCACACTGGAAGAAGCAAGCTGCTAGGTGACAGATCCAATCCCTGAGCCCAGGTCTTCTAAATGCCAAAATACTGTAACCTTTGAGTCACAGCCAAAAAAAAAAAAAAAAAAAAAAAAAAAAAAAAAAGCACCACAGAGTATATATAGACTATCATGCTGTTTATAAACAGCAACTACAATGGAACTGTATTGACACTTCCTGACAAACTCCCCATATGGAGATCTGCCAGGACACCCACAGCGCACAGAGGATGGAATGTCCAGAAGTCTCAATCCCAAGGCCCTCCCCTAACCAGCTACAGGACTGGACATGTGCAAGCAGCCGGGAGAGTGCTACCATCCTAAACCAGATCTCACCTCAAGGGACACAGCCACAAACTCAAAGGACTGGGTCCCACGAGTGGCTGCCTGTGAGCTTTCCTCTAGCCCCGTCAATGTCAAAGCCAGTGTAACTCAGTGTGGTCATGGCTGTGAGCCAAGATAAGACAGCAAAACTGGAGAGTCAGACTGTCTTCTCAGAAACAGTAGCTGGGTGTAAAGCCGCACCCCCACGGTGCCTCTCAGAAAGAAAGCCACAATGTCAGGCATGTGCTGACACATGCTGCGTCATAGCTCAATGGGGGAAAACATCCTGCTTATCCCACAGTGGTGAGCCCAGCAAAATCCATGGGTAAGTGGGGATGGAGGGATGGACGGGGTGAAGGAAGGGAAAGGTGAAGTAAGCAGAAAACCCTAACAACCTGTAGGCTCTTCGGATTAATAGGATAGTTTCTCTCTCTCTCTCTCTCTCTCTCTCTCTCTCTCTCTCTCTCTCTCTCTGTCTCTCTCTTTCTGTGTGTGTGTGTGTGTGTGTGTGTGTGTGTGTGTGTGTGTGTGTGTGTGTAGCTCAGAGGATACGTTGCAGGAATCGGTCCTCTCCTTTCACTGTGTAAGATCTAGGTATGGAACATGGGTCATCAGACTGGTGGCAAGTGCTTTCACCTGCTGACCCATCGCATGGCCCAGTGCAGATTCGAGTGCCGTCCTAGATAGAGTTACTATTGCTGTGATGAAACACCATGACCAAAGTAATTTGGGAGGAAAGGGTTTATTTCAGCTTACTCTTTCAGGTAAAAGCCCATCACTGACAGAAGCCAGGACAGGATCTCAAACAGGGCAAGAGCCTGGAGGCAGGAACTGATGCAGAGACCATGGAGGATGCTGCTTCCTGGCATGTTCTCTATGGCTTGCTTAGCCTGTTTTTTATAGAACCCAGGATGACCTGTCCACCCACAATAGGCTGGGCCCTCCCCACCAATCTCAAATTTAAAAAGTGCTCTTCAGGCTTGCCTACAGGCCAATTTTATGGGACATTTTCTCAACTGGGGCCCCTGTCTCTCAGACGACTCTAGCCTATGCCAAGCTGAGATAAAATTTGGCCGCACAAGTGCTTGAACTCATAATTCAATCTCTTTATGTCTCTGTTTACCTCTGTATACCAAAAACTAACCAAACTCACTTCATCATTCATAGTGCTCGGTGGAATCAGGACTTCCACTGTTTAGTAGCAGGCATAATAAGCCCTCTGTAACAATGACAAGGGTTGAGCATCTGTTGGACTGCTGGCTTAGCACACTGACACCCTGAACTCAATCCCACCACTGCATAAATGGAGCATGGTGGCACACACCTGCAATGCCAGCATTCAGGAGGTGGTGGTAGGAGGATTAGGAGTTCGAGGCTATCCTCAGCTACATACAGTTTGAGACTAGCCTGGGCATATATGAGACTCTGTCTCAGAAAGAAACAAAACAGAAACATGACAATGATAATAGTCACTGTCATCACCAGTGCTGTTCAGTGTCTCGTCTGAGGTGGTGCAGCTTCTTCCAAAGAAGTGTTTGGAGTGGAGTACAGATTTATAGAGCTGTTACATTTCTATTTATGCATCCTCTCTCCGGTGATGTTCCCTTTCACTCATTATAAGGACCGGTCTCTCTGATGCTAAGTAGAGCTAAGTGCTTGGTTCAAGGGCCCAGCAGGCCAGTTCTGAAGCTTCCTCTTTTCAGACAGAAGCACAACGTGCGTGAGAAACCAAAACCATCACTCAGCAAGAATAAACGCAAGAAGAGCTCTGCCTTAGCTTATTCCTCCCAGGTCAGGCGTGAGCCTGCTGTAAATGCTGGACAGTCCAAAGAAAGGCTGATAGGACACTTATTACAGGGAACCTCCAGGCGGGCGTACCCTGTGAAATGCCTTCGAGGTACTTGTCGTGAGAAGCGCTACGCCAGTTGCTCAAAAGCCACAGAGGAACCCAGTAATTTCGAGGCTACGTTCAGACTGGAGTTAGTTCCTCAGTGAAAAAGCCCTCACCCTGCTTTTAGAACGTGAGTCATAAAGTGAAGCCTTGGAGTCACCACAGATGAGTGGTGACTCACAATCAGCAGCAAGAACGCCTGCCTTGAGAGACCAGAAATTCCACCGAAGCCTTTGGGTTGCTACTGTACAAGACACCGCTCTGCTGGCATCATTTGCACCTTAAAATGTGGAGATGGAGAGTGCACTTGGGGGACAGGACAGGAGTCACAGGTAGATTGGGTAGGTCGGTTCTCCTGGAGATGTGCTAAGTGTCCTTTGAGAGTGCAACCCGCAGGCAGCCATAACTTAGCTGGGGGAGACAAGACAGAACAGCAAAGACAAGACTAGTAATAACTGCCAGCTGAAGGTCAGTCATGGAGGGATCTCAGAGATGGAAATCCAAGGGCCTGACGCAGGTGGCATGGGTATGAAGATGCCCTGGGCTGTGGAACACTAAAAGCTGAGCGTGGGGCTTCTGTGGGTCAGAGGGAGCAGTGTGAGTGAAGACTAATAGTAAATGCTTGGTAAGTGCTATCTCTGGGCAGTCAATGAGAATGGAGTACGTACTGGGAAAATGTGGAAGAGAAGGACCGAGGGACCTTAGAAGCTAAAGGGAAGATTCCAAGGGAAATGAAACCCTGCTGCCAATGGCTTAGGAGTGGACAGTGACTCAAGAGCATGCGTAGGGGAGATTAACATTGCTCATTGTGTTCAGCAGCAGCTTGAAGATGAGGGTTATCAGTCACAACATTTCTGGTGTGCTCTACAGTCAAGCAGCTGACCCCGTCAGCAACTGGCACCAGGCTTATTGTGCTGGACGCAGAGTTCTGAACTTTTATGAGTGCATGGACACACAAGAGACCAACACTGTCTTCACACAGCTTG